ATCAACACACAAAAGGGAAAACTTTTACGGCCTGCCACGAAAGGAATGTCCTGCGGAAACCCCTCCCTCCCTCTAGTAACCCGTTAACTCCTTGAAGAAAAATTCATATGCGAGATTTTTGAGGCGTCTTTGTTGTTTCGCAACTGACAACGATGTCGTTTCCAGGAAGTCTTAAACAAAAAACAAAAAAAAAACACCAAGAAGTAAGAGACATTTTTTAATTGCCTCAGATAAGCAGAACACACATAACATGGTGCCACACCCCAGTACCCAGTTCTCAGTCCCCTGTACCCAGTCCCCAGTCTTCAGTTCCCAGTCCCCACCTCAGAGCAGAAGGCAGTTTTACAATTCAGTGCACATTTTGATGAGCTTTATAATTTTTTTTCGGCTCACTCGAACCGTCACTGGGGTATCATAGTTCATAGATGATTATAATAATTATATAAAGCTCTTCAAAAAAGAGAATCTGCCAACAGGGTCTACAAAAGTCGACTCAGACTCTACACCTCTTTCCATTCATTTCACATACATATATGTATGTCACACAATTATCAAAGCTCTATCTAGGCATCAGCAACTGCCACGCCCCACCGCCCCACAAAAAAATATATATATAAAAAACCCAAGAGCCACGAAAAAGGAGCAGCCTATATATGTATTGTGCTTTGTTTATACGAATTACATGCATTTTACGCAACATAAACGAGATTAGTGCCCCGCTCACATTTTAGACGAAATATTTGCTATTTCAGTGCACTGCTCAAAACGGGGATATACAAATAATAATTCCTTACAGATACAAACCATAGAAAGATCAACAATTTCTCGCTGTGTACTGGAGGAAGAAGACTTCTAAGATACAGATTCAGAACGAAGGAGTTGAGTCTCTGGATGGGGTGGGTGGCAACTGCTTTTGTTTTTTACTTTCCTTGAACTTTTGCCACACCCACTTTCATCCTATCACCGGGTTGTATAATTGTTGTGGCAGTGGGAGGCAGTGGGTGGAGGCAAGGTTACATGTGTGTGGGTGTTTGCATTGTTAACAAGCGCTCTGAAAATTTTTCTCATCTGTCTGCCAGGCAGAACAATTCCTATAGACAATGTCGACGATTTGGAGTGGCCTGCCTGCCCCATACCCCATCAGAGTACATCAGACACCGCGAGTCCTGGGCTCCGGCTCATATTTATATTTTTACGACTTTTGTTGATCTTGGCAGCGAAACAAGAAGCTCCCGCCAGAAAAGGGCCACTTGTTTATGTTCCACACAATTCCCTATCAGAATCCTTATAAACGGATGCATCTAATTGTTTAAGACGTTGCAAAAGTTCCACGTACAACTTCTGAGCTATCGCAAGGATACACATGTCATGGGGGGAGGACAGAGGGCAGGGTCGTAAAGTGTGTGTGTTTAACTGCAATCATGAATGTGTGTGTGTGTGACCCAAAACTTTATGAAAAATCCAGCCAGTACGAACCATGATTAGCTCCCATTCAAAAATCCTTCTGCCAATTTTCACGATCCTCACACCGGCGTCACCGGATAATTCACCGCCAGGAGGACAACATCTGGAGAGAATCCTGCGGAGGCAGGAGACCTGAGGAGTAGCACCGGGTGCTTCCAAAAGTGGAAAATCTCAAATCAAAATGCCATTAAAGCATGTACCGCTTGACTATAACGCGAAAGTGGAAGTAAATATTGTCATTACTCAAGCTTAAAATTAAAATTACCCACCTGAATGGATAGCGGGTGGTAATGGTTGGGGGCGGGAGGCTGGATAATGGAGCTGGATGGAGGATGGAGCATGGAGAAGGGCAGGATGGTTGCAAAAATGATAAACTGCATAAGGCAAAACGAGAAATTTCGAATGCAAAACTTTATTCGTTCGCAGGAGACGCAACCAGAGGTGGGGGTGGGTGAGTCTGTTACCCCGCCTGTTACTTTTCCCGGCAAAGAGCAAAGTAATTTTCATAACGACAACAACAAAGTCGCCGAACTTGGCAAAAGGTGCGCCACCCAAAAGCGCTTCTGATGAGCGAAAAAATTTCGACTGCTGCCACACGCCCCCGGGAATGCGCCAAGTTAAGCACATCTGTTTTTTATTGCTTTTAATTTGCCATTAATAAGCCATTCCACGGCGACCGACGGTCGTCCGAAATGCTAATTTATACATCTATATAGGGATAGCTATATGAAGCTATCAAGGGGAGGGATCCAATTTGAATTCTCCCCTGCCTCTCTGGGGGGGGAGCTGGCAGAGCTAATTCCTCATAAGTCAATGAGTTTCTGGCACTTTTATGGCTTACTAACAGACACTAATATAGCTGGATAGCTGGAAGATAGTCCCTACTGATCATCCTTAAAGAACCTTAAAGACAAGCTTCTTCACCTTCATTCCACCTGAAGAACTTGCTGCCGTTTTCCAAAGACAAAGGCTGAAGACTACATCAAAGATTTTGGTCGTGCGGCCTAGACAACAAGAGGATGCCTTTGTGCCCCGCCATTGGCAAGGCAGTGCGAAATTAGCCAAAAGTAATCCTTTAAGTTTAGTGTCCAAAAATTGCACACAATTGTCACAGTCCCGGAGTTCTTCCTCCTCCCAGAACCCGGCCTCATCACCCGTTCCTCGTCACGGACATTGTCAGCCAACGTTGATGACATTGTATACAATTTCGTTGCTCCTCAGAACCCAGTACCCCAGTACCCAGTAGCCGGTAGCCAGTGCCTGGTATTGTCGTTGCCGATTACACTGAGATACAATCCTTGTGGATGCAGAAGAAGGACCAAAACCACCTCTCTTCCGAGTCTGTATTTGATTGAAATTTCTTCAAGTGCATACATCTTCGCTGTGCCTCTTCTCTGGCTGGCTATAAAACTTTTATAGTAAAAAGTAAATGCCACAAATGAGCAATCGAAAATTTCGCATTATAATGCAAACTGTGTGCATTTTTCGGGGTTATTGTAGTCGGCTTTTGGGCGCAAAAGACAAACGCATACCAGGAAGAACAACGAAGTCTACAGGATGGAGGATACTGGATGGTGGATAGCGAACCAAATTTAGAATTAAGGATTCAGTCGTCATGGTCTTTCGACTTTCCGCTCTGTCTCTTGCCTCTATTAATAATAATAGAATTTTTGGAAAATTCCAGCGCTAAAAAGAGAGGAAAAAGGAAAAGGAAGCTGCCTTTCGGCTTGCGATTTTTGCATTTGACAACAAGGACAACGAAAACGAAAATGAAAATGAAATGAACGAGTTGTTGGGTCACCATTCACTATTTTCCCCCCCCCAAAAAAAGCTGACTGCATTGCATAATCCAGCCCAGTCCCCCCCAAGTACGTTCCGGCTGACAATAATGCTAATAATGGTAATGATTATAATGCATGAACAAAATACACCCAGAGATGCCATCGTCCTTTGTCTATTGAACCAGGCACACCAGGACTCAGAAGAGCTCCAGGATCCGGGACAAAAGCCATCGTTGTTTCGGGATGTAATGAACTTCTTTATGGCTGCATCATTCGCATAGCTAATTTCCAGAGAGATGTCCCACACCTTGGCGAGTCGCGAAATTTGAATTTTTGAATTTAAGAGTCCAACCTGTCTGGCAAAAAAGCCAGGAGTTTCCAAGTTCTTCTCAAAATTTATAATTTTACGTCTCGATAGTGGGTGATGAGACTAGTTTTTAGCTCACAGGCCATTATTGGCTCGCCGGAAAGACCATTCCTAAGCCAATCATCCCTGCCAAGACATCGTACTGCCTAATGTCACCCCCATCACCGCCCAGAATCCACCAGGTGCCCTCGGCCCGCTATATTAAAACCATTTTTCGCTTATTACCAAAAAATTTAAATATTTTGAAAATAATAAACTGCGGGTGAGTTACTAAGTGGCAGCCGTGAGGCCGCAAAAAGCAAACAACGAAAGCTATTCTGGGGTGCGGCAGCCCGGGCTTCGTCATCAGGACAGCCCGGCAGCCCGGGCCAGGACTAATCCAGCCACCCTCCCACCGCCTCCTCGTGTTGATTGTCGCACTCTGCCATCAATGGACTTGGGTATGGCATCCTTGTGAAAGGATTCTCCACTTAAATGTGTATTCTTTTCTAAGAATTCCTTTATTTTCAATAAATTACTAGAATCTACGATTCCCAATACTTGAGAGTGCTATATTGGCCAGAATTCCAATTACATTTTTGGCTTTGGGCCAAATTACAAAACTGACTCCTCTCCAAACTCGAAAGGATAATGGTGATGGCCATGATGTGGTGGTGGTGATGGTGGTGGTGATCCTGTGTTCGCAAAAGTGTCATATTTTTATGATTTTTATGTTAATTCATAGCCACCGCCACGTCGCGGTTGCCAGTCAGCCCCCGATCCGCCCCTCCCCCAGTGCCACAGCCCCTGCTCAGCACATCCTTTCGAAAGGACTCCGTTCCCTTTTTGCCAAATGCTTTTTAATCCTTTTAATGAAAATTAGTTCCTCTCAATAACATTTAATATATTTTCCTTTGCTTTCGGTGTTTTCACTTCACAGCCCGTAACCCGCTCCCACCCACCGCCACTTGGTGGCCTCTCGTATCTCTCGTCCCTGTTGTTTTCACAGGCATTATCATAATTTCTGTTTGCAACCCTAAATCAACACTCCCGCTGCGACCCCACCATCCAGCTCCACCCCACCTCCAAGCATCTTTAGAGTTTTATGGCCGAGCGAGCGCCCCAATAGGTACCGACAATATCGAGAACTTGCGAACTTGAAACTTGGAACTCAAAGAGGTATGTATGAGGAGCTCCAGCCACACATAGTGGGAAGGTGCTAAAGTCCTTCGTCCCCCAGTCAGTGTCCTTTTGCCTGTCCTCCAGTTTTTATGCAGCGTTAAATGGCATCCTCTCGAAAATTGAAAACCCAGAGGGCAGTAAAAATTAATGAGCGTAGACATCCGTAGACCTCCCACCACCGATGGTAGGAACCCGCAGAGTACCCCCAAAAATAATAATGCTTTAGCTTTAGCGATGAGTGGGTTTATCCCAAATAGATTTAGACCAAATAGACGTAGACTCGTAAATTTGTGTTGTAGTTACATTCAAGTAGTGTTGCGACAGATTCGTTCCGAGTAAGAGTCACCCAAACTAAAAATAAACTAGCTACGCCCGCGCTCGAACTCACTGTTGAGACGCTATATATATAGAAGCGACTGGTTCGACCGGGCATATATTGGATAGATAGGATGGATACGGGGGTACGCCGGAATGATAATCGACCACGCCGCTTTTCGGCGCATTACTGATCGTGCGAGGGGTCCGATGTCCTGGACCACTGCAATCCCTGGGGATTCTCCAATTGTTCTTTTTCCTCCTGCTGGAGCATCAGCTGCCTCTGCTGCCATACGGTTAGCTGGTGATCCTGCTCCTGTTTAATCTGCTGTGACATCCGCTGCTGCATGTACTGGAGTGTATGGTCCGATAGCTCCCAGGTCTTGAGTGGGCGATCTCGGATGCCCCTAGGGCTGGCGCTGACACTGGCGCTGGCTTTGGCACCTATGCCTGGGCCTCCATCTTTGCTGCTAACGGTGTCGCTAACGCTGGTGGTGCTGGTGAACCCGGATCGTCCGTTGGTCATCACCGAGCGGCGGTAGTTCTTAACCGTCCGCTCCCAGTCACGGCTCATGACCTCGCGCGAGATCTCGTCCGGACTGCGCATGAACTGCTTCCGCAGTGAAACGGGCTCTGTGGGCCGGAAGTTGGGGCGGTAGGCGTATGGATCGCGAGGATTTAGCCACTTGGTGTCCACGTAGCCGCGATCCCGCCACATATTATCCTCGCGATTGATCCTCCGCTCCAGCGCGCCCACATTTCCACGAGTATAGTACCGTGTACTCGGATCCCCAGACACCAGTGATGTGGCGCTGGCTCGTGGGGCGCTGCCGGTGCTGGATCCGCCGCTGCCACCCGTATTGCCGTCATAGGCCCTGCCGCTACCACCACCCCTGCCCGAGTCCGAGGCAAAGGTCCTGCGAAAGCTATACCAACCACGGATGGCATTCAGCAGGGTTTGGTGCGGCCGCCAGAAGCAGTCGACGATCACGGATTTGGGTGAGCGTTGCATGACTGCAGCAAGGCGTTTGGGGCGCTTTGGGCGTTGGGGCCGTCAGGTGCACGGATGTCCTCGCCGATTTGCCGGACTTACTCCCCTCGGAGAACGATTACAATTGTGTTTTGCACCAAAAAGAAATAGATATGTATACACAAATCGGTTGTCCAAAAGAAAAGCTAAAACAATTGTTGAGTATCGTGTTATAGTTCTTTTCTTGTCTAGTGTTGTATCTAAAAAATTTGGAATTTTTAACAATAGTATTTTACTTAGGACTATAGAATTGGGAAATGTGAACTGTACAAATTTAGAATACGGAATGAGGTATAAAGGCAGGTTTCATTGCTAGGCTCGACGGAGTCGAATGAATTTCATGTCAAGGGTTACTTGATTTCTTTAAAATTATATAAAATATTTTTATTACAAAATACGAATCCCAGTATATAGTGCTTAAACCCTTCCAACTCTCAACCGCCTTGGGCCTAGACAATTTCGATTGTGGACCTCAAGCTCGAGTGCTTAATATTTTTCGCTTAGAACAAAAACGGTGCTTGGGCTACCCACTTGTCGATATTTAACATAATTGTTAGCCATTGTGCTGGCCTCACATATACATATATGCGAAATCAAAAGGAGTTCAAGTGTCAACGTTTAGTCCTCGTCCTAAAGCACCAAGCTCCTCTGGCAGTTAAATGGTGCTGAATTTCTGTGCGACTTTCCCAACCGGATGTGCTGGCAAAAAAAAAAAAATGCAATGCCTTCAAGACGTCGACCCTATTATTACCCGCACACATCCTGGATGGATATTTCACAAAAAAAATGCATTATGTTGGTATGAATTTTTATACAATTTTTAAGAATACCATTTCATGCTTTAAAAACCTATCCCTTGACCATCCAAGTATGGTATTGATGTTAGAGAACCCCTCGTAAAATATAATAGATTTCTATAAAATAGGAATCTGCGCCGTCAACCCCCCTCCCCCAGCTATGAAAAATAATTTGTCCTGAATATATATAACTTAATTATGCAATCTAAATGCATTGAATCACCTCAGCCAAATGACAATAATCATAATGACAGTGGAGCCTAGTGGATGGGGTGGAGGATTTTGGGGTTATGGGGTAAATGGGGATGGGGGTGGTGGTGAAAAGTGTTATCCACCAAAAATGTAAACTCATTTATTGTCCTTTTGGCTGTGTGATCCTGACAGGCAAGCAAACCACACAGAAGTCAGGTGGTAAGGAGTCAAAGCCTGGCCAGAAAATGGGCAGAGACCAAGCCCTCAACCCTCAAACCCCCAACCATTTAAACATTTCTCACAAAAAAGAGGGGAACGACAAATCTTTGCAATTTATTTACGTGCCATTTCGTAGCGAACATTTTCGTTAGGTTTGTACCCCACTCGTCGTCTGGCGGAATTCCAAGACAACTTCAGCCGGGTTGATGTTCTGATGACGTTGCCAGTGGAAGGATTTAATGGCACATTAAGAATTTTATTACCGCACAACATCACCACCACCAGCAACAATAACAACAGCATCAGGAGAAGGACTCCTTGGCAGGGTAGGGTATGGAGAGGCACAGTCGCGCACCTTGGCTGGAAAAATTTTTCGCGCGCGTACACACAAATTTTTGACAAGCATTTTGCCATGGAAAATCTTTCGGTGTCAACAGAAAATTTTCATTTTCATTTTCATTTTTCGTTTTTCGTTGGTTTTTTTTTTTTTTTTTTGGTAAGGATTTTGGTCCTTGTCAGCAAAGGCTGTACGTTACGTACCCCTGAACTTCCTGAGCTTCATCCTGAACTTCTACTTCCTTGAGACGATTGTCATTATTACAAGTTTTGCATAAATGAATGAATGACATTTATGTATTTCATTTCGCCAAGGAGCCATGGAACTCAAATCTTTATGTCCTTTGTTTGATCAACTCTAGCCAGAGGGCCAGAGGCCAGAAGGCAAGAGGGCTGGATAATGGAGGTCGTCGGCGGGGGCAGGTGAACATCTCTCGTCCCATTAACCCTTTATGTGTCAGCGAAAATTTCCAAATCCAGCCACAATTTTGTACGTCTTGAAATTTATGCATAATTGAATTAATTCAAAAATGGAATTCGAGCAATCTGGCTGGGAGGAGGAAGGTGTGGCTGGAGGAGGTTTTGGCTCAGATTTTGGATAAGCATAAGAATTAGTCGAAATGCAGGGGGGAGTGAGGAACCAATTTGGAATAAAAAACATAACTAAAGGAACTGTTTAAATATTTCATTATACCCCTTTTCGTACCTCTAATAACATAAAAAGTATACTAGTACTAGTGGCTTATCCAGAATTTAGGGATTTCTTTGTAATCCACTTTTAGGATTGTAAGTATCAGCTGCAGTATTTGTAAAAGCATGTCCTTTTGAGTGAAGTGCCTGAGGTTAAAAAACAATTGTTTGCCCGCCTCGGTTATTTATATGCAATTTATCCATATCCCGAGGTTCTGTTTGTCCAACCCTTTTGGGCGGCAACTCGCCAAAGGACCCTGCCTATGCCCCCTGCCCTGCCTTTCCTGCCTACCTCGACTGCATTTAAAAATGTTAAAATATGAAAATTACCAGAACAAGAATAGCCTGGAAAAACCGGGGGGGTGGACCGAATTTATCTACAGAGACACGCACTTCGGCAATAGTTCGGGAGGCCTGGCATACAAGAAAAAAATTGTACGTGTTCCCACTTGACGGGGCTGGGCCACCATTTATTCTACACCCTTCCTCCTAACAAATCCTACGAGGAAAAATTTCTATAAAAAAAAACCCAAAAGGATAAAGAGTTTGGCAACAAGAAGGAAACTTTGAGAAAAATTGTACGTTTTTCTAGTTAGAAGAGGCTACTTAGACAAACGAAGTCATCAATTTTTAAATCAGAAGACAGTTAGGACCTTGAAACTCAATTGTTTTCATTATTTATGGAAGTACAAATATAAAAGTATTTTCAGTGTACAAATAGGCATTATAATAAAAAAGAAATGAAGTACATATAGCAAAGGGTTGAGGACACAAGGGGTGGCGGCCGGCTCCCAGCCTCCTCCTAAGTCCAGGGTCTCGCGTTACTCCGAAAAAGAGATAATTTTATTCCATTAATCCTTTTTTTTTTGGGACAAATTCTCTGTCGTTTTTTCTTTTATTTCTTGGTTTTTTTTTTGCTTCTCATTTGAGCTTTTGTTGTTGGTGGCGTTCTACCATCTTTTTCTTCTTGTAGTCTGTGCTCTGCGGGGCGTGGCTCGAACGTGGTATTAGCTTAAAATTGTGTAAATAAAAATTACATTCATAAGAAGGTTTAGACCGGGCCAGCTGCTGCTGCTGCCGAGCGCCCGTCCCGGATTCCGGATTCGAATTCGGGATTCGGACACCCCCTCCCCCACCGGTATCTTTTTTTTTTCCCATAGTCCCCCACATAAATCAGTGACCGCAGGATTTGGGAAAACCATCCGCACTGGGCTCTGACGACGACATTCTGCACAGCCGTGGTCGCTAATTGCGAGGCGACTGTACTTTTGAAAGGATATTTATTTTAAGATGATCAGAAGGAGCTTTGATTTATAAGAAAAAACCTACCAATTTTTATTCACTTCTCACAGCCTATCCCCCCATCCTCCTCTCCAATATTAACACCTTTGGCAGAGCACTTTTCTGGCACTTGCCAGACATTTTTCGGCCAATATAATTTCTGCGTAATGGCCCCCCGAACTTTCAGGACTCCAAGACATAAACCTCTTGGCACGCACAATGCGAACGGGGCAAAGTTTTCCGCGGAGCACATCCTGCTCCACACCGCTTCGTTCCCTTAAATTAATGTTACATTTTATTCGAAAGAAGAAAATATAAATATTTTCGTTGCTCTACAAATAAATTGCCGGCAGGAAAAATTATAAACAGGTTGCAGGCGAGTCCTGGTTCGTTCAGCAGGCTCCTGGCTACATAACTCCGCTCATTAGTTTGCCTACTCGTAATTAAGCACAAATGGCTTTCAAGGCGGTCTCACGTAGTCCTGCTCCTTACCCAGGACCTGCCAGGTTTTTTTTTTGGCGGGCCTATGGATGTGCTGCTTGCAGTTCCCGGTTCCCATGGATGACAAGCCCTTCGTCCAGCCTCCCAGCCAGGATCCACTGGGAGGCACTCTGCAAGGACTCGGTTAACGATAAATCCTCGGGCAAAAGTTATTCGCAGCGGAAACATTGTCATTGCTCGCTGGCAATGTCGTTACCAGCGCCGTGGAAACTTTGACTTTTCATACTTCTTGCCAATGCCAAGTCGCCCCTGGAGCTCTGGTGAGGACCAAGACCCAGGGGGGGCCTGACCCCCATCTAACCGGAATTACTACGAACGTTGGGAATAAACTATAGAAACCTTCACACTCGGGATACCTATATCGCATCTTCCAAAATAACCTCTGAATATGATTCCTCAGAATAGAGAGTAAAGACTAGGCATCTATGTGGAACAATGAGGTCACCACTTGGTGCTCAGAGATTTGCTTGTCGGCGACTAGCTGGCATTAAAATTTGTCGTTCATAACTTTGGTGGACGGTCGCATCCGCTACTGAATCGTGGACTAAGCATCTCCCAGTCCCCTCAACCCCATCCTGGCATCCAGAGCTCTGACAAAACCAAAAAATTTATTACACATAAAGTTTCACCTGCGCGCAAGACTTGACTTTTCACCATTTTTCCACCAGGTCCTACTTGTATTTTTGTTTTTTTTTTGTATAATTTTATTTTATTTTTTTTGGCATACATACGGCGCGGATGGAAGAATACCTAGTGGCCAGAGCCAGAGGAGAAGGATGTACAGACGCACAAAGGATTCATAAATTTTGTAATTGTGAAATGTGCATTTTAATGTGCTCGCAAATGAGTTGAAGACAAATTTTTGAATTATTTGCAAAATGTTGTTGATTTATTGAAATTGCCCGGCTTTGCCTCTCCACTGAGCTCCCTGCTTACTTAAGCACTTGCGCAAAAAAAATGGTAAATTATTGTTGATTGAGGTGGAGAGTTGGAGCTTGGAGTTTGGAGTTTGGAAAGCTCCAAGAGGGTCAAAGGAAGCAGACTTGGAAACTAATTTAATTCTCCCAGATGGTGAATCTTTCAGCAAAAATAGATTTGTTCTTTGGTCTTCCTAATAACCTGCCTATCGACAAATATGTGTTAGCCCCCAAGCATTGCATTATTTTTTTGTAATTATAGCGTATCCCCTAGTCATCCAATTATTGTTCCTTAATGTGCCGAAAAGTCAGCCATGTACATGATTCGTTTATGCCTTTGTCGGGTTCGTCAGATGGAGACTGCCACCTGGTAGGTA